TTGGATCTCAGTCGCCTTGGCAACAGAAGCTTTATCAGCCAGGCTGGCATAGCTGAGGTGCTGCAGGCAGTTGCTGAAACCGGCAAGGTTCCAACTGCAGCGTCCAAGAGCACGGTCAAGCGTCGGCGAGACGCTGCCGTGGACCTGGAAACACCATATGGCAAGCTGCTCTGTCATTTTGATCTCCCTTTGGAGGATGGCCAGGTTGTGAGCTTACCATACTGCAATCCTGCGGCTTTTTTATATCACAGCAGCAGAAACTTTCCACGGATGCAAAGTTTGCTTGACACAGCGCAGCGAAACAAGCCCAACAGCATGGCTTCCAAGTGGCAATTGATCCTCTATATGGACGAGGTGTCTCCTGGAAATCAATTAAAAGTTACAAACCGACGAAAACTTCAAGCCATATATTATGCCATCAAGCAGTACGGCGGCTTGCAGCTCACCCAGGAACATGCCTGGACAGTCTTAACGGCAGTGAGAACTGAAACGGTGAACAAAATTCGAGGTGGAATGTCTCGGTTGTTTGGTGAGTGCATAAAGCTTTTTTTCCAAGACGGTGGCCACATGGGCAAGGGAATTTCTCTTCAGGTGGGCGGCGAGCCCCAATTTTGCTGTTTTGAACTGTGCGGCGTCTTGGCAGATGAGTCGGCGCTGAAGCAGGCCTTTGAGTGCAAGGGGGCATCGGGGCGTATGCTCTGTATGATGTGCCAGACCACTTGCCACAAACGGCTGGCTCCATCTCCCTTGCCCCCAAGGTATGTGCTGCATACGGAACACAACAGTGACAATTTCACGCTGTCGACCGACCAGAGCGTCTGGGCTATCGTTGACCACTTGCAGCATCAAGCAGCTTTGCCCGGACTCAGCAAGAAGAAATTCGCCGATGAAGAGGTGCGGCTAGGATGGAATTATTGCCCAGATGGGGTGCTGCTGGACATTCCTCTAAGAGAACACCTCAAACCAGTCTCAGTGGCTTGTTATGACAGTATGCACGTGTACCTAGTGGCAGGAATATGGCACAGAGAAACAGGCCTTCTCATGAATTGCCTGCAGAGCAACGGATTCAGGCAAGTTGCTTTACATGAGTTCTCTACAGCTTTCGTTTGGCCTAAAATTCACGGGGGCAAATCCTGCTCTGCAAGGGTTGTGTTCCAAAAGAAAAAAGAAACGGATTCAGAGTTTAAATGCAGCAGCTCGGATGCTCTGGCAATTTACCCAGTACTCCGGTCATACTTACAAAACATGATCCGAGACCCCCCTCATGAATTACAGCTGGCCATCAACAGCTACTATCTCTGTTGCGACGTCCTGGATGCCTTGAAGCCTGCAGCTGTGGGGGCCATCACTCCAGCAGAATTGAAGAGCAAGATCGAAGCCCACTTGAAATATTTCAAGGCCCGTTGCTGCGTATAACATGTTCTTGCAACAACATATCACTTCGCCTTGGGGTCTATGTATGATGTTTGCTCAGTCAAGGTCACGTGTTTATGCCTTGTGTGCCGGCTCTGCAGGCATGTCACGGTGACCAACACGTGCTTCCGAAGCACCACCTGGCAATGCATTTGGCTATGCAGCTTCAACGACATGGAGCGCTTTGGACATGTTTTGTCCACGAAAGACGCCACAAGATTTTGAAGAGGCCAGGTGAACATGTAAACAAAATCCTATGTTTGATGTCGAGAGATGTGTAATCGAATCACCCATATATATCTGCTTTCCAGGTGGGCTGACCAACAGCACAGCGGAGCAAAGGGCATGGAGAAAGCATTATTGAGAGAGGTCACTTTGACCCATTGGCATGACCTCAGGGAAATGGCCGAGGATTCTTTCAAGCCTGCAGGCGATGCATTCACCAGGTCATTCATGGAACATTTCCAGATTGTGAAGGTTCCATGGAACACTTCACCTGTTCTGGTTCGTGACATGGCGCATCGATGCGCAGTGGGTGACATCGTGATGGTCACAGACCCTGCTGTGGTCGGTAGAGTTGATGCCCATGTCAGGTATGGCCTCAATGATTTGACTTTGGTGACTTGTTTTGATAGAGTCAGCCCAAACCGCTTTCGGGAATCCGATGTGCAGAGGTTTGTGGACACTTCTTGTCTGAAAGGTGGCCTTGTATATAAACAGGAGGAAAAAGGCATCCTCGTGGCCCCTCAGAGCTTCTACTCAGAATGAAAGAAAATGAATACCTTGTATGATGTTGCAAGAATCTTGAGGGTTCGCCTAAATTCTCCAGCTTCGTGCTTTGTATAATCATATATCGTCTCAACCTGGGTGACCTGTTCAAGCCTGCATCGTTCATCCATCCATCGCTGCCCCATTGTATTTGAACATGTCCACCGGTCTTTTCACAGCTGGGCTCATTATGTGACAGTTCAAGCCATGCCGATGCGACTCATGTGCACTGCGCAGACCGTACTTAGAATGCAAAGGGCTCGGCCTTCTGCGTGGCCCCTTTCAAAGTTGGAGAGTGCAGCCAAACGTTTGGAAGACTCGGCAGTGGGCTTAAATTATATGTCTTGATGAGGTCTGCTTTGGCAAGCACCGTTTTTGTTGGTTTGCGTGCGTTTGTCTTCAATTTACATTGCTTAGATGAGGCCTGGCCACAAGCCAAGAGGCTGCAGAAGTCCATCAAGAAGGCTCTGGAATTGCTCCACGCTGAGATTAGCAAACAGAAGCTGAACCGTGAGAAAAGGGCCTTGCAGGCTTCTTCCAATGTAACTCCTGTAGACATGGCGGTACCCAGCGGTGGCGCAAAAGTTACCACCAGCTGTGAAGTTATGCCTGTGATGGCGCCGCCTGCATTTATCCCCGGGAAGAAGAGGAAACTGGCGCACTCGAACCCTACTTCTGAGCAGGAGCCTGTCACTAATTTGGATGGTCCCAGATTTATCCTGCGCAAAAACGCGTGGGATGATTTTCCTGATGTGTGATCGTACACACATTGGGTGATGCATTCAACTAAGTTTGAAACACTTCTGCAAGCAGCTGTGCACACCAGTGCCTGATAACTTAGACAATGCAGAGCCTGTCCATTACCACTCCAGGCAAAAATTTCTTTGTTTCTGTATAGTTCTGTGAATGTGTTATCTATGCTCTGGGCTTCAAGACTTTAGATGGGCATTTGTTTTGTAGAATCATGCGCTTGTGCGCGGCTGTGCTCGCGCAGGTGAGCGTTGCAGGGCATACGCTCGCGCGCTTCAATGTCACAAGGCTGGAGACTGAGGGAGTGTACTCCGCTGAAGCTAGTATAGCCATGCAGCCTGCAGGTGCAAGTATGTATGCAGAAGCCTCGACTAGATTCTTTGCCAACATGGTGCCAGCATGTCTCTCTCAACTTGACTTTACTTGACACTGATCTTTGGTGCCTTGTTTGGCTCAAAATTTCCAGGCTTCCTTGGCCGGCAACACACCAGTGGCAGAGACATCAGATATCTATGTTCAATAAATTTCAAATTCAAGCTTCAGCATATCCATGAATAGAAAGATGCTTAGATCTAGAAAGATTTACCTACCTTGAACTCTTTACATACCTATACTTACCACCTATACCCACCTAACTGCAAGACATTGTGATACAAACATAAACTGCTGCTGGTTTTTCGTGTTGCATCCTGCAGCCCGTTGCTCCGATGCAGCCCCTTCATACTCCGCAATCCGCTGCCCCGATGAGGTTGAAATGGATGGTTTGCAAATACCAGCATCTGCCTGACCCTGGGCGCACTGCCGAGTGGATTTGTTATGACGAAACTGGCAGGGTATGGTTTTTCCGCAAGACGCAGAAGCTTCTTGGCTTCAAACTTGAATTGCCCAAAGTGATGTCGCATGCACGAGTGTTACTTGTTTTCATTTTTCTAACTTTATGTAGCCATCAGATGTCTTCCTCTTGCGTTGGATGTGTACCAAGGAACAAGAACCTCCACCTAGAGCAGCAAGGTGTTTGGCATTACACCCCACGGCCAACACCGACGTGGAGTTTGCGGGACTTCGCGTGCTGTCCGGCGATGCCCCCACACTGCAGGTTGAACGTAGACTTCCGGCAAACCTCCCCAGGGAGCGTCGAGTGGGCACTTCGGCTTGGTTTGTAAACTTGGTTTGTGTGAACTGTTTTTCATTGTTTGAATTGGCCGCGTCCTATTTTTTCTTGGCTTCGTTCCACGGATTGCTGCTAAGGTGTCATCATGTGGACGCTTCTGGTTTGCAATAAGAGTCCTGGCTAATGCGACGGTGGATGAAGTGAGGGCTTGGCTGCTGGCCATGGAATCTTCAAGGAGGACACTGACTTAGTGAGCCTCTGATTTTGGCTTGAATCTATGGAATCTAGTTGGTGGGTCCCATAAACATGGGACCACTTCTGGCTACCGGAATGTAATGTGTGGAAGCACTTCTTTAGCTACATCAAAGAGGTTGCTTGCCACCTGAGCCAAACAGTTGCTCCAATGACCTACTGGAAAAAACCTGAAGACCTGCATGCGCCTGACTTGTTTGCAACACAGTTTGCCCAAAAGCATGATTGACTGCAACTGAATACAAAATTGTTCTGCTTCCTGTTGCAGGGCACATGCTCGCGCGCTTCAAGTTTGGGCTTGGCATTTGATCTCAAATTACTCTTGCAAGGCTGGAGACTGAGGGAGTGTTTGCCCTGCAGGCTGAAGCTTTATATAGCCAGGCTGATCTAGCTGGAAGTTAACAAAATGCATTGCAATCATGGAGCGCATGCAGCCTGCAGGTGCGTCTATGTGGGCTCGAAGCCTCGAGTTGTTCAAGCCACAAAACGGTATTTCGCAGCCATGAGCCGGGACCTGCTGGCTGAAGCATGGAGTACCCTTATCGAGGTGAAAATAGAAGTCAGCATAGCCACTCGGAATTTGGCCAGGGTCGAGAAAGTTCTGACACAAATCCGTGATAGCCGTGAAGATCCCCGTCTTGATGAGGAAGACTCAAAGTGCGCCAAACGGCCGAAAACAGGTCACCTCACAACCGCGAATTCTGCAGGCTCACAGTGGAGCGATGACTTCGCTGAAACGGCAAAGGTCGATCCAGAGCCCAAGCTGGATATCAACGAAGCTCCATGCTTGGCAATGCGTGGTGTCAAGGAAGAATGTGATTCCCAGGCGGGCGCAGATATGGCAGCAACTTTGAAGGTTCCCTGACATGAATGGCTAACAGATTCTTGGGCCGAGCCCGTTGAGAGACCTTGGTACATAAGCCATGTATCAAACACGATGGTCCAGTTTTGACAACCACTCCTGCAGGATCTGCAAAAAAAGGCGCTGCTGCCAGCGAGCTTTTGACAGTGCTTCCATGGAAACGCACCAGCGAGAAGACCCCTGCATGGTGGTATACATATGTGGGCGAGCAAGCCACGCCACACATCCATGAATTTTCTTTGCTTGCAGGTATCGGATTCAGGCGCATGCGCCGTGCTGCAGTTGACGCACCAAGTGAGGCAACACGATGGCAAGCCGCTGTCCACGCCTTCAGTCGTTCTGCTATAGGCTGGTTGCAACAGTGGCCCAGGTGTCCCAAAGTGGAGATGCAGCTCACGCATTATCGCGCTGTCCGTCTACAAATTCATGCGCAGGTTTGGAGAAGCCTCAATGATGAAGAACACAGAGTCCTTATATGGCCGCATTCGGCAGCATCATGCATCAATCGGGGGCAGCGCTTTGGGATGCTTTGGCCTTCTCAGCGCGCGCCATATATGTATTTTCTTAATTGAAGTTGATGGATACAGCGTTCCATTCCACGCGGGGCTCTTAGCTCGCTGGAAAGCTTTGCAGGGCATAATGCTCGCAGGCCACCTTGATAAATGGGAGGCGCCGGTCGGTTTGATTGGGGGCGCCACCGTGCACGGCGGGAAGGAGCTGCGCGCGTATACACACAAATTTCTTGTACCACCATGCGTTCCAAAATTTTTTCTCACCTTTTTTGGAGGTGAGCGTGCTACAAATATAGCATACATGCTTAAAAAAACCATGAACCCATAATGCACTTATTGCACTTAGCGCACTTAGCGCACTTAGCCATAAGTAGGTTAGATCCAGTTAGGGCACTTAGTGTAAGTTAGATAATTAACTTATATAAGTGCACTAAGTAGGCAACATTTAACTGCAGTAAGTGACTTATAGTTAAGTTCATTAAGTATTTCTTAAGTGAGTTAAGTATTTACTACTTAGCATAAACATTTACTAACCAGGCTGATCCTCCAAGCAGTGCCAGCTCCCTACGGGCAAAGTGAGCCTCACCACGCTGAAGCTCACGCACCCTGATGTTGTTCCTCGCCGTGATCGAATCGCTGCCCCAATGCGTCTGGCCTCCTGGATTCGCTTTGAGACGGTCATGACAAGCGATGATTGGGAAGGAGCTATTAGCTTGTTGGTGTCCAACCTCCACCGTCCCGACCAGGAATTGCTTGTGCTACTACAAAGCTGCGTGGCCGGACAGCCAATTGCCTCCATGGAAGAAGCACAGGCGCTGCTGCTCAAAAACTTCCGGGTTGGCAAAGGTAATCAAAGTGCATGTGCTCAATGGCTGACGGAGATGGCTCGAGACCTATTGGCACCGATCCCGTTCCGAGAAGTGTTTGTCATTCTAGCCCTCTTTCTCCCGCAGCTCACCTTTGTCGATGAAGCCACCGCAAGACAAGAACTGTGGAGTAGTCCCACTGTTCGAAAGTTTGGCCTAGTTGTGGATGTTACACCCACAGCTACCGGATTGCAGGGCATGCATGAATATCGCATAGCCTTTCCTTCGGGGTCACAATCGGCTATCTTTTGCCCAGCGCACTTCCAGAGCTGCAGTTTCGAACAACTAGCCAGCAGCCCCTCAAGTACGGTGCATATGGGCTCGCAGGCTGGGAAGGCCTATCGACTCGTTCTGGAGGAGCACGGCGCGTGCTACTCAGTCTTGGCGCTTTTG